TTTTTTTTTTTTTAGCACTTTCTGAAATGAAGTTCACTATGTGCTAAACACACAGAGAATAAAGCATGAAACCAAAGCACCACGACCCCACCCTCACCAAGACTGCAGGGAGTGATGGAGCATACAACTTGGTTTCAGAATACAATTCGGATCTTTCCTTTCACTTGGCTTTTTAAAACTTCTTTGAGGATGGTAAATTTTCATATTATATTAAATTTCATGCTGTAACTGATATTCTGGGATCATGTTGGCCAATAACTGATAAGATTTGAAATAATCAGTCAACTAGTTTAGGCATGGCTTAGCACACTCCAGCTGACTTCACAAGTAAAGCCATGTGAAGTTTTCAGATAACACAGGTGGAGGTGGCGATCCTTCTCATTTCATGGAAAATATTAATTGCTCATTTTTTATTCACTGATAACTAGTGAAATTCCTTGCTCTACCTAATATGAAGACTTCTGAATTACCTAACTAAAACTTTATAGTAACTGAAAAGTTTGGGTATTTTATTTTCTTGGAGAAAATGTTAGCTTCCAGTCATCTATTACTTCAAAATGTTAAACTTTTCATGAATTTCCTCTGTGTATACTAATGGGCATAATGATCCACTCTGAAATATTAACTGTCATTTTGAATTCATTCATAAATCATCACAAACGTGTACATCTCTTATACCTTCATGGATGCTATTGGTGAGATGATCTCTCCTTGTCAACACCTTGAGGATAGGGACTTCTTCAGGCTTGCCTCTAGCAACTGCTAAGTGCCTGGGAACACAGAATAAATATTTTATGATAGGAAGATGTTAGAATAAGAGGAAAAACTGGGGTAAAAAAATTTACCCTAATAAATTATATTTATTATATTCTTATTTGTATATCATTGTAACTGTAAAAAATATTTGCCTAGGGATTTGTTTTACTTGCACAAATACTTGTTTCTGGGTATGTAAGACTACCAAACATATACTGCATAACATTCAGAAATTACAGAAATGTATATATATTTATATAGACATAATAAAATAAAATTTTCATTCTACCATATAGAAATAACTACATTTAATAAACTATATTTAATGTTATTTTTCTCATATATGTAAAGTTTCACATAGTTAAGTTTATACATTTGCTTTCAAAACTCATTTTTCAATTAAACATTATATCCATTAGAATGTTCATGACATCCTTTATTTATACCTTTACATTTATTTTTAGGGCCAGATGTGATGGTTCACACTTGTAATCCCAGCACTTTGGGAGGCCAAGGCAGGTGTATCACAAGGTCAGGAGATTAAGACCATCCTGGATAATACAGTAAACTCTGTCTCTACTAAAACTACAAAAAATTAGCCAGATGTGGTGGCACATGCCTGTAGTCCCAGCTACTCAGGAGGCTGAGGCAGGAGAATCACTTGAACCTGGGAGGTGGAGGTTGCAGTGAGCTGAGATCATGCCACTGCACTCCAGCCTGGGCAACAGAGCGAGGCTCCATCTAAAAAAAAAACCAAAAAGTATCTTTTTCAAATATGCTAATATATATGTCTACAACTATTTCAGTTATCTAAAATACGGGGCTGTAATTAATAATAGCAATTGCAATCATTTCCAGAGAAAGTTTGTTCTGTGCTTGACATCATGTACCTTTTACAACAAGTTTGTTAGGCTAGATATTACATTTAATTTTAAGTGAAAGACTTGAGTTAACAGAAGTTAAACAGGCTGGGTGCCATGGCTCACACCTGTAATCCCAGCACCTTTTGAGGCAGAGGCGGGAAGATCACTTGAAGTCAGAAGTTTGAGACAAGCCTGGCCAAGATGGTAAAAACCTGTCTCTACTAACAACACAAAAATTAGCTGGTGTGGTGGCATGTGCCTGTAATCCCAGCTACTTGGGAGGCTGAGGCTAGAGAATTGGTTAAACCCAGAAGGAGAGGTTGCAGTGAGCTAAGATTGCACCACTGCATTCTAGCCTGGGTGACAGGGCAAGACTTCCTTCCTTGGCTCCTGCCCCCACCGCTAGAAAAAAATGGTTAAACGTGTGTTTCATTGTGGAGTCAGAATTTGAACACGGGCTTTATCTCATTCACAATATCAGTCTGTTAACCACTTTGCATTTTTTTGCTCCATATGACATATATCATGTTGATAAAAATCTTTGTGGTATAGGCTTTGCACACATTTTAGATTATATCCTGAGGTATATTATTAGATATAGAATTACACATTTATTTGAGGCTCTTAATACATTTGTTCAAATTATTTTCAAAGTGTGTTCATTAGATTCACATTGCGATCCCAGTACAGTAGATCTTAGTATTGGTTATTTTTACCATATTTGATATTTGTTAATTAGATAGGACAAAAATGTATTTTATGGATTTAACTTTCAGATTAAAAAAAATTAGACATATTGAATGTCTTCAATTTATTAATTAGCTATTTTATTGTTTCCTGTGTGAATATGCTGTTATACTGCTTAGTTTTTTTTTTGCTCAGGTATTAGTGTTAATCCTACTGACCTTTAAACTCTTGATATATTTGAGAAGTTACATTTTGTTGACTTGTTTAGTAACAGACTTTTATATACCCATTCCTAGATGTCAGGTACAATTCAGGACGCCTTATATTTATTCCTCATTACCCTTACAGTTAGGTACTATCATTATCCCCATTTTTACAGATGAAGAAACCAAAGCACAGAGTACATAACTTTCCTCAGGTCACACACTGCCAGGCTGGCTTGAGCAATCGTGACTAAGTATGTCTTGCAAATATTTCCCAAACTTTACACTTTTTGTTTTATTTGGTTTAGTATTACATATATTACAAACTAGGTTTCATATAATCAAATCCATTGATTTTTATGCATTCTTTTATGTATAAAAATTATTTCTCTATATATTGGAAGATAAGCAAACTACCACACAAAGACATGTTGTCAGGTGTGTTTATACCATTATTGTTTAGAATAGAAAATTATTGTTTAGAATAGAATAGAAAATCAGAAGCCACTTAAATGTCCATCCACTGAGGTGTGATTAAATATATCATGATACATTCATACACAGATTGCGCAGTCACAGGATGAGAAAGCTGAATATATATTTCTATTGACATCAAATTTAGTCACCACATGTTGATAAAAGGGATGCTTTTAAAATAGAAGCTCACCTATGTTTTAAAAACATAAGTGTTGTAAATACATGTTTACCTCAGTCTATTAATATATTAGTAGAAATTTATGCTTGGTTGCTTATCTCTTTTTGAAAACATCTTAAAATGAGAGTGGATTACTGGTAAAAAATATTTTTTCCAAAATATTTAGGTGCCCAATTCTAGCCCTAACTTTCATTACTGCACATGGCTCTTTGATTAAAATCAAGAAACACTTTATTTTTTTTAAGAAAATTCTTTCTTTACTAAGAGATCGAAGAAATATTCTTTTTTTTCTGATACTTTTTCTGAAATATATATGACTGATATTTTTAAAATTTCTTTTTCTATCCCTTGAGATATCTCTTAATGCACTGTAGGTGTCAAATATGAACAATTTGTATGTAGGCGAGAATGACTAACTTGCTCCTATAGAATCCTATAAGAATCTATAAGAACCCCAATACACTATTGTTAACTTATAAAAATGGTCAGACACATAATAAGTACTTAGCAAATATATGTTGACTCTTGAATTAAGAGCTGACTGGAGTAATGAAAACAGCCTGTGTTATACTCAACCAAAGTTTAGACTTAATCCCCACATAATTTCAGAAATATATTCTTAAAATAATTATGAAATGTGTTTACATGCACCAAAATGTAAGCTTGATAGTAAAGATTTTTATTGATTAGTCACTGCTGTATCATTAGAATTGAGGTCAGTCCTGACACATAGATATTCAATAAATACTGTTCAAAAAAGTAAATTAATAATTTATATGCTATGTAAAATAACCCACTACGTAAAGTAAACCATTTTTTCTAATAACTAGAAAGTGAGGTCAGTTTTATTGTAATTATCTCACAGGTTACAAAACTAAAACTGACAGAATGTAGGTAACTTGCCCAAGCTCTTACAGTTGGGAAATTCTAGCTCTGGGATCTAAAGCTTCTGGGATCTAAGTCTGGTCTTAGAGTTCATATAAGCAAGCTGTATATCTTTTCAGTACATACCACTCTGGGGCTCTAAGGAAAAAGAGACTATAAAAATAAATACTTTGCACTGTTTTATTGCTACTCAAATGTCCTTTCATTCATTCATTTAGCAAACCTTTACTGAATGCTTACCATGTGTCTTTTTAGAAACTGGGATTAGATTACAATGGTTAAAAAAAAAAAAGGTGAAGATCCCCATTCTAATGGGGAAGGAGAGAAACAACAAATGTGCTAACTAGGGACCAAAAAAAGATAATTTAAAAATCTGATGATTGCTCTGAGGAAACTTTAAATGGGTTGATTGGGGATGGCTCCTCTAAGAAGAGAAAATTCTCCACTGGAAGATTTGGGACAGGCTGTTACAGGCAGGACCAAACAGCAAGGGCAATACGCTCAGTGTGTGTGAGGATTTTGAAATGGCTGGTGTGCCTGGAACATAGTGAACCGGGGGAAGTGGAAGCCAGATGGCAAGTCATTTTTGTTTATTTGGAATACTTAAAGCTTCCAGAGAATAGGTGTTTGATTTGGGCATTTTAAGCTGATTTAAGCCTTCTGAGCAACAATTAAAATTTATTTAATCCCTCTAACCAAACATAAGAATTATTTCAATCTTCAACAATGCTTTAAAAAATGAAGAGGAAAAAATAGAGATAGTATAAGTTAACATTATGAACCCTGTGAAAGATGAATTCAAAATAAATCACTAGGGATGTTCGACTAGCTACAGAAAAGGTTGCTTAATACCGGCATTGGCTTTCAAGAGAAATCATGGAATCTCCCCTCTGGAGATAGTTTAAAATAGGATTAGATATATTCATTCAGTGCAGCCTTGCCTGAGAGCTCCACTGACCTCCCAAGGTCTTGCCAGTCCTGTGATTCTGTGATAAAATTAGACCCTTTCATTGGACAAAAACAACCCAGGGTTCACTATGCCAGCTGCAACCTGGAATAATTGGAAGGGACTGATTTTGGAGTAGTATACCTCCTACAGCTGAGACAAGATGCAATTAACAGATCCCCAGACCTCTCTTATTTCATGCTGTACTGAGTACTCTGCTGGTTCTCAGCCAATAATGGCTGGTATCAATGATACAAGCAAAGTCAAGTGGTTTGATCCATGATTAAATAGTAGATGTCTTTATTAGCTGCTGACCTTGCTTTGTGCAGCATGGCTTCAAGAATTGTGTACCTATTAGCTGATTCTTTAATCCTTGAAAATAGAAACCAGATGAATCCAATAATGTATTTTTATTTGGCCTTTTTTCCACCATTCTAAAGATGAAATAGCTCAAGTTCCTATGCCAGGAGCCTTAACCTAATTAAGCAACTCAACTCAACTGTTCAGATACTTAACCTGCAGTATTTACCCATTGCATTTTCTCATTTAGCAATCCCTGCTTTCAAGAAAAATTCAAGCAAATATAAATATATTTTTCTGACTCTCTCGTTTAGCGGTAACTGGGCACAGTGTCTAGAGCACACATCTGGAGTGAGGCAGACCTGGAATTCATGCCAGCTCCTTGTGACCCAGGATGTAACTATGAGCTTGAAGAACTTTCCAGTCTCTGAGGCTTGTGTCTATGTATCAGGGATAATCTTATTACCCATTTCATAGACTTGATATTAGGGTATATAATAACGTAGTTCTCTTTATTCATCTTCTATATTCTTCTTTATCCCATCTCTGATGATTATGTTTTCTAGCTTACTGTTTTTCTCTCACTTCCCACCTTCACCCTCTGCTAACACACACACAAATACACACGAATCCGGATGTGAGCTCCATGAGGACAGGAACCCTTTGACAGTGCCTACAAAGAGTTACACATAAATATCCCATGACATACATTTATAGGGCAAAGGAAATCACCAAACATTTTGCATAATGGTGCCTGGTATATTATGAGCATTCTATAAAATGTCAGCTGATTTTTTTCTTGGAAATAACAGATTTAGCTATATCTATCAGTTTACTTTGTCATCTGAAGCAGCCCGCTATAAAGAGCAAAGTGAGAGGAACTTGCACAGTGGACAGAGCTTGGTTCTGACTTTGCTAACAATAATGTTGCTTTATTTTATTTTATTTATTTTTTGAGATAGAGTCAGTCTGTGGCTCAGGCTGGAGTGTCATCATGGCTTA